CAGCTAAATGGCATGTCCTTCAGTGATTCGGGGCTTTCACAAAAACTTCGCTCTTCGTCTAAATTTTCAACCTCTTTACTGTAATGTCGAACTTTTTCTTCAACAAAAATAATCGAAGAGTTTTGGGAATCGTCAAATTTTCCCTCTCCTTCTACTTCCTCTTCAGCCATCTCGTTCCCGATAGTCATTTCTTTACTGGAGCAACCTGCTTTATGATCATTTTCGTCTGGTCCTTCTATTTTTATGAAGTCTTCTGAACAGCTGCGAGATTCTTTCATCATCGTGTTTGGCGGGCTTCCAAAACCTCTATCCGCACAACATGCTTGCATTCCAGTGCCGCTCTTACAAAGTTCAGCTAATCCAGCGGGTCCATATTTTTCAGCCAATGACTGCACTTCTTGCCGTTCATTTTCGGTCCAAATAATCGATGCTGATGTCAGAAAACATATGTATGACCTAAAAAGGAATATGATATTTGCGAAAACATCGCTCAAAAGTATAAGTGCAATGACTTTAGTCAATATACAGCATTTTTAACAAAGATTCACACACACACACACACACACATACACATACACACATGAAATACAACTGAACTGAATTTTTTCGTGAAAAATTATGATGAATATTTGGAGTAAATTTGAAATTATGCAAAAACAAAGAAAAATAATAGAAATGTACCAAAATGAACAATGAAAAAATCAAAATGGGAGTAGTGACTTTTATATGCATCCGTCCGATGCTCCCGTTTGGATATAGTTCACCAAAGGAGTAGAAAGAAAGGCAGTCTAAAGCAGCATAAGTAATAAACTGACCTGATTGCAGCGCCCGAATAATCCTGCAGAAACAAAGAACCATCTAGATTTAAGGCCTGAAAAAAACAGTAGGGATAAAGGAAGACTGCATGTAAGGACAAAAAAGAGAACCAACGAATAATGTTACAGTTTCTAATTCTGAAAAAATTCAAAAAAAAAATGGTGAATTTGCAATAAATGGGATGGAATGTT